GGGCAATTTTTAAAACATCAAGGAGAAATACAATCATTACCTGACTTCACGGTCCAGTAAGGGGACAGGAGTGAGTGCCCCCTCCCCGAAGACTGGCCTGGAAAGGTGCCCACCCCAGCCGACAGGGCTGAGCCTCAGACTTAAGCTCCAGAGGCAGCGGGTCCCATTCAGATTTCAGTCCAGAATTAGACAAGAGTGGACTGTAATTAGCACCTGAGCTGAGCCCACCTGCTCCAACATGCCTTGGCAGGGAGGGCTATGCAGCTACACAACCTACTCAATTTACAGTGAGAAACCTCCACTCTATTTTGAAACAGAAGCAAGATGTTCTCAATAATAGCACTGGCAATAAAAAACCATAGTATTTACAATCACTAAACTTCTTTGGATAGTGTTTAACAAATAAAATAGCACGGACAACATAAAAGAACACTTCACATGAAGTATGTTCAGTCAGGCTTCTGACTACGGCTCATGGGGCTCCCCCTTCCAGCAATCAGGGCAGGGCCACCCTTGGGAGCAGCCCCAGTAAGGAGGATTTCTGAGGGGACGGCGGGGGGAGGGCACGGCACACCCTAGGGTGGGCAGGCGGTGCAGGGAGGGAGATGTCACAGACACGACGATGGGGCTGCACCAGCCGGTCAGCCGTGCCCACACGTCTGGCTGCTAATAGCTGTTCCCAAAGATGCAATCCAAATGCATGCTCAGCGCGTGTGTGGCACCAAGGACTTGGACAAGTCTCTACACCAGCCTGGAATGCAGCAGGGCAGGACCCGGGCTCTGACAGACACAAAGGAACCAGAGGCTGGGTCCTTAGGAGCAACTGGGCTCCTAACAGACCTGCTCCAGCAACCAAGTGGCCCCCAAACTATTCTGCAAACTGTCATCTACCCTAAAAATAATACAGCTATGTTTCTTTAAACCCACCTGTCCACTCAGTCACTAACACCTGTGGGACAAGCACCGGCCTAGATCGGGTGGCTGGTGGCTACGAGGATGGATGGCACAAATGTAGAGCATTTCCTGCATCACAGGAAGTTCTACTGGACATCACTAGACAGCTGTCGTACACACAGGTGAAAACAAGAGCAGGGAAATTTCTAACCTCCAAAGGCCAAAATGTGGGGAAAACAGCTTTTTAGTAAATAAGCAACATGAACAATCAAATCTGTAAACTGTAAGAACTACAAGGAGAATGGCAAAGCGACCCGCAGGAGGCAGGGGTGGGGAGCTCTGCTTAAAAGACAGGGATGTTTGCACATTAGATGGCAGATGCTGACCCAGAAGGCCTCTGGTCCTCTACGAAGAGTGAGCTCTGACCCGAGACAGACAGAGGGTTGCCTGGAGTGTGGAAGCGGGGCCCCGACAGTTCGCGACGGCACGAGGTCACCCATGAACACCCCTGACCACCTTGGTTTGGGCTCCTGCACGTCAAGCACTGGCATAGAATGGTAACTGGGGGAGGCCGGACTTCATGGGTGCCAGCACCCACGTGTCATGTGGTTGTGGCTGTGATGCACCCCTGGCAGAGGGACCTGCCTCACCAAGCCAGCAGAGGTCAGGAAGGGCAGCGCCTGGGCGCCTAGGGCAGAGCTGCTGGGAGGAGACGCACTGCGGGCAGCCGCCTCCGTGCATCCCCCCGCCTCCCCGCCTGCGGGAGCATGGGATGCACCAGCGGGCTCCTGGACACAGGGTGGACTTTGAAGGGCTGGGCTCCAAACATCAGACAGACACGACAGGTGGGGGCGAAAAGGGACATTTACACAGATGAACCTCTCTGCTCTCTAAAACTGGTATAGACACATGCTGCAAGTTTTCCAAAAGTTATGTGTTTACAAACAAACAAACAAAGCAAGCTAAAATGATTGTTATCATTTTAGACGAATGCCTAAAAAATCTACTATACTTTTTTGTCTCTTTAAACTCAAGATAGGAACCATCCCCTTTTGTGATGACATTTGATGACTGGGTCATCAGCAGGTAGATGCTCCAGGTACTGAAGATGCATGACTGTCCCTACTCCCCTCATCCCACGTGGACTGGTCCGAGTGACAAGGGACTGCACTCTGGCCTGCCACTCCCTGCTCTCCGGCTATTAGCTGTTGTCATCTCTTCCTGATGACCTGCAGCTTCCAGTCAGCAACAGGCATGAAAATCACATTTCTGAACGTAAAGCTGACATGCAGACTGCAAGGGTCTCCTTCTGGCAGGAAAGTGGAAAAGGACTTGTGCACAGATCCAGGTGTCCTGTTTCTGCAATGTGGCTGACAGCAGAGCAGGGCAGGAAGCCGTGCCCCAGGCAGTGTGGTGATGCTGCTCAGAAAACAATGGGCCCTTTAAAGACAGGCAGGGGAGCCAAAGACAGACCAAGGAGAGCCTGCCTGGCAACCCCGTCAGCTGGCACTGGAAAGCCACGCTGCTCATGGCTCAATCTATACCCAACAGACTTGTATAAGCTTACACAAGGGTTCCAAGAGAAATAAGCAGTATTCACGCAAAGCTTCAGGCTGCTCTGCCATCTTCCCACACCCTGGAGGGGATCACTCTTGGGGGCCTCCCCCCTTCCAGCTGTGGCTGGAGACAGGCAAGCTCCATTCCAGAGGGCTTCAGACACAAGGCAGCACCGACCACACCCAGAAGGGAGGTCCAAACACACCCAGGAAGCAGAACAATGGTTTTTACTTCCTAGGGTCCCCGGCAATCAGGGACACAGCAGAACAGTCCGCACAGGCAGGGAACCGCCGAGGCGCTGCTTGGGGAGAATGAGGAATGTGAGCCGACCCATCCCCTCACGCTGTCGTGATCGGGGCCTGCTGGTCCATCTGGGACCAGACAACGTGGAGCCCATGTGACCTCACATCCTGGACCTCACAGTGCAGGATACATTTGTGCGAAGTCCCACATCTGTAGACATTCCTCACCCAAAACTTCCTCCACGAGACTCAGCCACAGACCCGGAGAGCAGGAGGGTTTGGGGTAGCAGACACTGGTGGTCGGTTTTTGGAGGAACACAGAAAAAAGGTACCAGAGAGAAAAATGCAGAGCAGCACGAGGTTGCTTTTGCTGACACTCCGTCCTTGCACAGCTGCTGGGGCCTCTAAGCCTGAGAAATAGTGCTTAGCTTTTTCTTGTTTGACTAAAAAGTCTCTCAAACTCTTGGCTGGTGAAATTCACCCTAATGCCTGCAGTGTGAACTGCTTCTCAGGCGGCCCAGTGTCTGAACGAAGGTCATGCATGTGGCTTTGGAAGCGACGGGCTGAGCCATTGTTCATCTTTTCATTAAGTCTGATGAGAAATTTCCTCTTACACGTCTCTTTAGCCACTGACCCAGCAGATGCTCAAGGGCAGTGGTGGGGCCCACACTGAAGTTCAGAACTGGTCTTCGGGGACAAACACAACACTCACACGAGGCCCTCAAATACAGCCCCCTTCTCTGGACTTTTCTTCCAGAGGGAAAAATCTTCAGCATTGAAGATTAGAGATGCGTATGTGAGCCAAGTGGGCGCTATTCCTACTTCTAGCACCACAGCCTGCCACCCTGGGCACGTCCCATGTGTCACTCTAAGTGGAGCCCTTCATGCAGCTCCTCATGGCGTCTATCTGTCCTGAAGCCATAAGTCACCTGGGATGTTAGGCAAATAGCCCTGGCCTCTACCCCAGACCTGATGAATCAGAATTTCTAGGAGCAAGTACCCCAGCCCCAGCGATCTTCTTGTTGGCTACATTTAGGCAAGACTGGCTTTTCCCATTTAGTAACCACTGCAATCCTAGAAAGCAGGTACTGTTTACTTTATTGGACAAGGAGACAAAGGAACTTGTCCAGAGCTGCCAAGCCAGACAACAGCAGGGCAGGGATTCAGACCTCCTGGCAAAGCACAGAGCTGTGCGTGGACCGACTCGGCCACACTGCTACACCCGACCCAGTCCGGAAGTGGGTGGAAATTGCCCTGTCCCCCAAATTATGCCTGTAGTATTTGAATGGGTCCGGGAGAGCCTCCATAAAGAATTACGGGAAAGATTTAAGTTTCCCTGTTCAGCCCCAAGTGTAATCCAACCCCGTCCTGACTCTCCCGGAACCGGCAGCCATGCGACCAGTGCCCTCGGTGCGCTAACTAGCCTAGGAAGCTGGGCCGGAAAGAGGCCGCCAGGAGGCTCTGCACTGCAGGCCTGCGCTCCCTGCTGGGAAGCGCTCCCAGCCTCTCCCTAAGTCCGAGTTAGCTGATTAGCTGTACACACTACCACTGGGCTTGTTAGGAAATAACGAGAAGCATTTGGAAATACATCTGTGCAAGAGAAATGGAAGTCCTATACACTGGTTACACACTAGCACACAGCCCAAAGATGCGTATTAAACACTCTCGGTTACATCTATTAAACTAGACTCATAATTCAAAGTCTTATGTTTCTCACACCAGTACAAATGGACAATTCTGAAGCAGCTCTTTATTTGTACTAATCCAACAAGTAACTAACTCAGATCTTCAATAAGGTGTACTCACCTCAGGCCTCCCTCCCATTACAGTTGAACACACATACCCCGCCCCATGGGAATGGACTTGGCTGCTTGTACGCAGTATTTTAGGGAGACCCCCAAGGACTGGGCCCTCCTCTCATTCCACAAGGTGGGCCACAGCCCTCCTCCCGGAGCGCCTTTGACTCATGTGACCACCACGCTGGGAGGGCCTGACCTGCTCCCTACACGGCACACAGAAAGCCCAGGTTGGTTAGGAAATGGGAAAATGTAAAGCAGAAACTACCACCTTATTTAGGTGTTTCTAGCAGACATTCAGAACTGCTAGTCTAATTCAAAATGATTCATATGTTATTTGCTTCTAGAAAATCTTTATGATTTGGGAAGTTTTAAAAGCTCTAAATTTCAGATGCCTCGTGAGAAAACAATAGGATACATGCATCCCAAGTCCTCTTAAGACAGTTCGTCAAATCAGGGGCTAAAACATCTAGAAAGCTGGCCCAGACGACAGCTGGGGACCCATGATTACCTGTTTCTCCCCACAGCGTGTCGGTGCCATCGATGTCCATGTCATGCTCCTTTCCCAGTCCCAGCAAGCACTGGACCACCTGTCGGAAGGGGCAAGGTGATTTAATGAGGTCACAGCCACACGTCCTTATCATATCCCATATACCAAAGGGGAGACAGTGTTGGTTTTTAACCATGATTATCTCATGCTGCACAAGGAGAGAAAATATAGTGAAAGCCATTTTCAAGCATAATTTATATGCTATTCACACTTTCACCTTGAGAAGAATAAAAAAACAATTGGTGCATTCCAGCAACAATGTTCAGGATTACTAGGTACTCAGAATACCAATGATTCCAGCATGACCCAAATACACCAGCCTCATCAGCAAAGGACATGGGAGATGGTACAAAGTGCCATTTCTGCACACATCGCCAGAAGATGGTGAATTCATTTTTTCACAAAGACAGAAAACAAGGCGATGCATACCTTTTTAATAAAATAAAATAAATAGCATTGTCCAGATGATTTTCCTACCGACAGAATCATTCCTTTTTTTCTTTACAGGAACCTTCCCCACTGAAGAGCAGGCTGGGCCACAGGTGTGACACCAGGAGTGCAGCTCACTGGGAAATGGAGCTATTTGAGCCCCATCCGAGAGCCAGTGCGGCAAAGCCACTTCCCCGCTCCCAGCCCACACCCTTTGCGGGAGGCTGAGGAATGGCCTCGGTGTCCGCATCCTGGCCCTGGGAACCTGTGAATGTCATCACGGATGGCAGGAGGGGATTTGCACATGCGATGGGGAGTCCTGAAACGGACGTTTATCCTAAGCCATTCAGGTGCGCGTCTCATATACTCCTGACGTGATCACAGCTGACCTCCTAGGAGGGACAGGAGGAAGCAGGGTCAGAGGAAGGAGGGGATGGGATGACAGCCCAGAGTTTGAAGCGAAGCATGTAGGGGCCACAAGCTGAGCAAGGCAGCTTCTAGAAGCTAGAAAAAAGCAAGGAAACATTCTCCTGTAGGGCCTGCAGAAGGAACACTGGCTTCCTGACACCTTCATTTCAGCCTTCTCACCTCCAGAACCGTGAGAGAACAGGTGTGTGCTGTTTTCAGCCTCTAAAGTCGGTGATTAGACCAGCATTAGGGAATGACCCCAGCCCTTCCCCGTGAAACAGCTCCTGCTGGGGCTGCTTCTGGGCAGCGTTCCCCCCAGCCAGCCGTACCACAGTGGAGTTTGACATGACACGCAACTAAGGTCACATGGACACACGGCGTTCACCGTCTGCCCTGTGATGATGTCACACTCTGGACCCACTCAGACTTAGGGAACAGTCTGAAAAGGTAAAACATCTCTATGTTTTCTGATACATGTATTTAACATGCTATCTCTGTAAATGGGCATTTAAAAAAATATTTACAGTTGTATTTTAAAGGAACAATGACAAACCCAACACATGTTAACACAGTATGTTTTTATGAAAAGTATTTTTAATGAAATGAGTATTTTTTCCAATATTAAAATACAGGTAAGTAAACTGCCATTGTTTCATATTTTTGTAAATCTTCTTACATTTGTCTTAAGACAGCTGCATTCTTTTACATGTTTCTGCATGCAACTTGTTGCAATATATTGTATTGAGGTGTGTGTATGTGTATTTTTAATGTTTAAGGGCAAAAACTAGCCAGCCAGTCATATGTGTGCACACACATATGTGCACACGGGTGTGTGTACACGTGCCTGCCTTGTGTTTTAAATGCCAAGCCAGCCAGCTTTGAATCCAAATTTACTTTAAGTCTTTGTGGGGAAGAATCTTAAATACTGGCAACCCTAATTGCTTGAAGACAATATAGAATGAAAAATACATGGTAAGAGCAGGGAAAATATTATTAAATTCCCAGAAACACAGGTCAGGAGATGACAATTCAATCGTTCAACTGACGAATACAGACAACCCACCAGAAGTAAGTACTCTGCTTATGGCGTGAAGTTCCCCACCAGCACGGAACTGCCAATGACAAGCATTCTTACCTGCTGTCAGAGCAGTGACGATTTTTAAAACACGTCCAAATACAAGAACAACTCTAGAATTAGGGTTCCATGTGACTGTTTTTGAAAAGACCAGAAGGACAAGAGAATGAATCAAAGGGAAAAGAAAGCGTTAAGACAGCAGGGCTAGAGGGAACCGTAGAGAGGGAAGGCAGCAGTGCAAGCAGCACAGAAGGTATCCCCTGGCCTGCGTGCACGCCGGCCACCGCGGGATCTCCTCGCACGGCAAGGGTGGCCTGTCAACAGAAGACCTTCACACGTGGTCAGACCACCCGCCATCCCTTGAAATCCTTGTTTTCTGTCATTCCTTCAGCATGTCCCAGGCTAGCAATTTAGAAGGTGACTGGCAAGCCCCGGACCCACACGCCCCGTTTCGGTGCCCAGGAGGCCTGCTGCCCCACTCACCAGGCCATGGCCCATGCTGGCGGCTGCCGTGAGTGCCTGCTGCAGGGCGTGGCTCTTCCGCAGGGCGCCTGGCTGCACAGGCCCCGCTGACCACTCACAGGCCAGCAGGTACCGGAGAATGTCGCCGTGGCCCCTCAGTGCGCTGTGGACCAGCGCGCACTGGCCTTTCTTATCCAAGTGGTCCACCTGTGGGGAGCAGGGGAAGGCCACAGTGTAGCATCACCTCTCCTCTGAGAACATGAGTGTACCACAAATGCTGTGTGCAAACCCCATCCCACTGCAGCAGTGCATGGGGTTCAGTCCAACCAGGCTTCCTAGTGAGCACCAAATCTCTATTTGAATTACTTCATTGTAATGTAACTCCAGGCCCGAGTTCCCTGTGCAAATCTAGCAATCACAGAACACCTCCCCACTCCCTGCATCTCTCTGACAAAGGACTAGAAGCTCCGGGTTCTCTGGGGAGCGTGTGTGAGGACAGGGGCCAAAAACACCTCAGCCAAAGCCCCAGACGTCCCAACTCCGCCGCCTGCACAGACACTCAGAGGCATCTGCTGTGATGAGCTGGGGTTGGGAGGGAGAGAGCAGGTCTTTCATCACTGAGTCAGGGAAGCCACAAACGTGACAGGTCTGCAAAACCAAGCAGGGGACCTAGGACGCCTCAGCATGTGAAGCGTGCCCGCAAAGCCAGGAAGGCCAGCGAGCCACCACCTTGGAAGTCTGCGTGCTGTTACCCAGCCAAGAGGAAGCAGACAAGTTGCCATTCCCTGACTATACCCAGGAACCCTGGGCTGGAGAGGGAGAGCAGGGTCCAGCCTAGCCTCACCCTGCTTGCAAATTCTGGGGATGCTCGGCACTCTCTCCCAGAGGTTTTGCAAGAGCCACCTAGGCGACCTCTGCCTTCCTCCTGCCGAGCTTGTAGCTGTGGTGGGAAGGCACCTGAGAGCCCCTGAATACGGAGCCACGGTTCACATCTGGAGCTGCAGGTGTGCTGATGGGCACAAATGCACCCACTGGGAATGCTTAACATTTCCCCTCTTCCATGAGCTGAAGTTCATCCCTCCCAAATGTACTTTTGAGAGAAAAAACGAAAAGGCTCCCACGGTTACTATAAGCCTAATGTCTTTTTGTTGAACCTTAAACATCCTAATTAACTTTGAAGACAAATACCAGCAATTTCTTTCTACTGTTATTCGAAAGCACATCCCCACACCCTAATGCTTCCGGTAATAAACCTAGAGTTCACTGTGAGCGTGACAGCGCTCTCATGTAACCTGTGAACACCGGTAGTCCCAGCATACTTGAACAATATACAGTTAGGTCATATTAATGTCAACATACTGATTTATTTAATGCTCACACAATAGCGCTGTGGTAGAGACTGTGGCTATACCCATTTTACAGAGACACCTGAGGCACACACTCAACAACCTGCCCAGTGTCCCAGCCGGCTAGTGGAAAAATGTCTAGCTGTCTGTCACAAATGTCTGGACTGTCTAGCTCCTACAGCCACAGGCTCAAGCCCATGGCTTCTGAGACCCACAAAACTCACCTCATTGTTTAAAGAAAGACATGAAATGGGGTAAGAAGAAAAGGGGGAAAAATATCAAACATTTAAAATCCTTTCAACCAACCAGTGCTGTATTAAATTCTGATAGCCACTTTCAGGCTTTTGAAAGGAGGGTCCTACTTATGCTGTGGGTGGCCAGGGGCATCGCTGGTATCCTGCTACCCTTGGGCAGTATTAACAGAGAAAGAGCTTATGAATAAAACACTCGGCCCCTCTCTCTCCAAGGCTGCACATCTGTGCGCCCACATCGAGTGACATCGTGCACAGCCTGGCACCTGCAGCCCCACCCTTTCTGCTCATATAGTGATTTCTGTTGACTCAACAAAATAAAAGGGAGACTGGCCCAGCTGATGCCAATTTTGGAAAGGATGTGAAGACACTAGCCCACTGCCCACCCCTCGGGGAAAGCCGCCTGCTTACCCTCGCCCCCTTCTTGGCCAGTAGACACACCAGCTTCATGTGGCCAGCAGCAGCCGCATAGCAGAGGGCAGTCATGCCATTCTCCGACATTCCATCCAGGCAGGCTCCAAATTCCAGGAGCAGAGTGACCACTTCCTCGTGGCCGAGGTGAGACTGGATGCACAGGATTGGGGCGTTATTTAACACTTCCGTCCTGTAGTTCACGTTGGCCCCTCCCAAAATCAGGAGGCGGCTCACCTGTTGGATAATGTCCCACAATAAGATTAACTTCTCATATAAACATCAGTCACAACATTTGTGGAGTGGACCAGTATCCTCATTTCAATCCACTGGTTCTCAAACTTGAGTGTGCACCAGTGTTACGTGGGAATACACTGAAAATGCACTTTCTTGGTGGTGGAAATCTAAAATGGTGCAGTTGTTGTGGAAAACATTATGAAGGTTCCTCAAGATCGAGCAATCCCACTTCTGGGTATATATCCAAAGGAAATGAAGTCAGGATCTTGAGAAGGTATCTGTACTGCCCTGCTCACTGTAGCACTACTTACAATAGCCAAGACATGGAAGCAAATTAATATGTCTGTTGCGCTGATGAATGGATAAATAAAAGTGGGGTATATACACAATGGGATGTTGTTACCCAGCCTTGAAAGGAAATCCTGTTATATGTGGATGAACCTTGAGGACATCAGGCTAGTGCAACAGCCAGACACAAAGGGACAAAGACTGTAGGGTTCCAGTAACTTAAGCACCTACAGTAGTCAGACTTAAAGACAGGAAGTGGGTGGTGTTACCAGGGGCCGGGGAGAGGGGAAATGAGAGTTGTTCAATGAGTGCAGTTGTAGTTTTCTAAAATGAAAAAGTTCTGGAGATCTGCTGCACAATGAGAATATACTTAATACTACTGAAGTCTACACTTAAAAATAGTGAAGATGGTTAATTTTGCTTTTTGTTTTTTACTAAAGCAAAAAAAATTTTTAATGTAAACAGCACATCCCAGGCCCCGCCCCCTGGATTTTGATTCAGGACATCTGGAGCAGGACCAGAGAGAATATGCATTTTTACTGAGTTCCCAGGTGACACAGGGCTTGTGGGGAAGACCACACTTTGAAAAACCACTGTTTCATCTAAATTAAATAAAAATTAATTTTTTTCTGTAATTAGCTAATAACCATAGAATTAAATAATTAACAGTGAGATAGCAAAGCCCAAAATAAATGCAAAGGCTCTTCTCTTCACAAGGAAGTCCACCTAAAAGAAAAAGCGGAACACATGCGAACATTCACGCACCCCTGGGACCGTCAGCGGCGCAAGCCTCCCCAATCATCATCTGCTCTTCAACTCCTGCTCCCACCACCCACTGCACTCCTCAGACCCAGACATCTGGGGACGTTTTCCATCTAGAGATTTTAAAATAAAATCACTGAATACCTTATATAGATTCTAGCTCTACTAATATTTTCTTCTAATGTTCAGGTCATTCAAAGTACGTCTTCTAACATCTATTAAGATGCCCATGGTGTTTCTTCACACAGTTCCCTTCACAGTCCTGACCAGCATCAATCACTCCCCGAAAGACCTGAGGCCGGCTGCCCACCAGGTGTATGAACCACAGAGATGGTGTCACTTACTTGACTAGAGACACACAGATCATTAAAAGATGCAGAAAGAACAAGGCATGTAAAATTCAAAGTATTAAAAATTAATAGTACTAGGTGGTGAAACCACACTCAGCATAGTGGGACAGCACACAGGTTAGAAGCCAAACTGGGAGCCCACAGGGACCCAGCCCCACAGCGCCCTCTCTGCCCTCCTCTCCTGCCACCCTTCCCCTGGCTTCCCCCACTGTGGCCATGCTGGATCCTTTGCTTGTCCTGCAGGCAGGTCCCTGCCTCCTTTACCCCAATAGTTGCCCCTGCCAACAATGTCCTTTCCATACATAGCAGATGATGGACTATTTCCTCCAGGTCTCTTTTCCAATGCCAGGACACCAGAGAAAAGTCCACACCTCACCCCTACCATTTAGATCACCCCTCATTCCCCCTTGGGCCCCCCTGGCCCCCACCAGAGCCAAACCTCCTGCACGTATCAACCCCAGACACATCCATCCCCTCTGCACACACCACTTCCCAGCTTAGCCACAGCAACCTGCACCAGATGCTTGCTCTAAGATTCCAAGGTTCAGAGAAAATAGGCAAAAAAAAAAAAAAAAGGCCCTCCACAGACACGGGTGGCACATGTGTCAGATCCGCCCCACCATTAGGACCATAGTTTACATTTAAGGGCAGATCATGCACAAGTGCCAAGCAGGCCACTCAAGAGCCAGTCCTGGGCCAGCCAGTTACACCCATCAGAGGGACCACCTTTAGCCCCACCCAGGTCAGCATCAGCCCAGCTTCCCGCTGCCAACCAGCAATTAGGGATGAAAGGCAGAAAACACAGGGATGAGAAATCAGAAAAGGTGCCCTGTCCTAACACTGACATGTAACACGTGACCTTGTGCACACCCCCTCCTCCCTGAGCCTACCCCACACGCCTGTGCGGGTTTGCTCTTGAAAACAGTGCCAGGCTCACATGATTCATCAGTATTTTTAAATTTTAAGTGTTAAATAAAAGTTAAGGGCGTTTTTTTAGAAAATTTCCCTTTGAGTAACTACCATTCATACAGAAAGCATTGAACAAGGATGGTGAAACTTGGGATTTTATCAAGGCCTAGGTTCTTGATTAGTCCTCAGCAAGAGGGGCACAGAAGAACACTAGCAGCTTTTTCAGAACATACACAAGGTCACTGAGGGCCAAGTCAGACTCCAATCACCACAGGACAGGCAGGAACAGTTTGTAAATTCCCTGCATGACTTTGACAGGCAGTTATCCTCTCCTGACTCCCATCAATCTCTTCCCCTCTTGAGATCCATGAGCCTAACAGAAAAAGATGATAAACAGTCTGAGCTCTCAAGCAACCCCTTAACTTGCTGTGTGACTTTCAGAATACTACTCAACTTCTCACCTCCTAAGAAAACAGCAGTGTGCCACCTGATTCTACCTAACAAGTACCCATTGCTAATAATGTTGTAAAGTGTGTTTTCAGTACTTTTTTGCTGAATACCTTACAAGACTTCACCTAGAAGGAATGTGCTTAGGGGCAGAGCTTTCCCAAAGATGTCTGTCATCAATTCACATCTCATCTGCTTCCTGGGAAAAATGTTTCCTTTGTTGGTGCAACGTTGCGGCTGTTTTTCCCACTTAGCCCCCAGTTCGTGTGTGGGGCTCCTTAGCCCTGCTGCACATGGAAACCACCTGGGAGCTTAAAAGTTTCCAATGCCTGAGCCCCACGCTTGGAGATTCTGGCTCGGCTGGAGCCTTGAGTGCCCCCGAGTGACTCCAGCTGGCAGCCAGGGTGGTAAACATGTCAGGTGACAAACGCACCTGGGGTGCTCCAGCGTCCTCAGGCCAGGCACCCTTCCAGCGGGTGATCTGGGGCAAGCTCCTGAATGCCCACTGTTTGCTCATCTGAATCACGGAGAGAGGAGTTCCATTCACTGGGTTGTTATGAAGATTAAAGATGAATGTCACACATACCACACAGCACTGAGCATCCTGTAAGTGCTGAGTACATTTTAATTGCTATTGTTAACAACTGTCTCTCATGGAATTTTTAGAAGGGACAAGAGCCCAGGTCCCTGACCTGGAAGGCACAGGAGGGAGCTCGGCCCCAGGGCTCCCCTGGGCTGTTGACCAGCTCAGAGACGCAGGGTGACCTCGTGCTTCCCTGGGGGCAGATGTGAGTCACCTGGACTCAGAGTCACACGGCAGGCAGCTCGTCTTACCACCACCAACAGGCACGTCCAGAATTCCTCAGGTGCCCACGGCAGACTCTCAGCATCCAGAAGGCAGGAGAAGCACTAATGAAACTCACCCACGTGACCACGTGACACGGGCCAAGCGTTTCTCCAAGAGCAGTAACGTCTCAAGGAGGTTTCTGATCACTCTCTTAGCAGACTGTCACCTCCATTTCACAGGTGTGAAACTGAGGCTCAGAGGGGATAAGGCACCGGTTAGCTCTTGGCACAAAGCTAATTACCGTCACTGAGCAGTTGAGTGGCTCTAGCTAAAATCACTGTGTCAATGAAGGGGTCTAAATGGTTCGTCCTATACATTTCTGCCGACCATCAACCACCACAGCAGCCCTCCCTAGATAATGTTTGGAAATGGCAATATGATGTGTAAACTCCTGGATTTAATGAACACAAGAAAATTAAAAAGGGGGCTGGGGAGGTAGGCAAAGTGATGTTATCCCAAGGAACAGAGCGACGCAGGCCAACAGGGCCACGAAGTGGGAGCCTCGGGCTTCTCTGTGAGCGTCCTGGGGGCTCACGGCGGCACAGCCACTCCAAACGTGCACTGCCTAACCGTCACGTGGAGTACGGCTGCGTCCTCTCTGCCGAGGGAGCTTAGGCCGGAGCCCACATCCAGTCCCTCTCTTCCTCTCCCTGCCTTCAGCTGAGGGCAGACTCACAGCCTGAATTCTGCCGACTCCCCAGGCCTGGGGAGCCCCTGGCTGGCAGCCACTCTGATGGGACAGTGTAAGCAAAGCAACCTGCTGGACAGGCGCCAGGCGGCACTGGTGGCCAGGACCCCAGTGGGTCAGCCAGGGCCTGGGCCGGCATGACTCTGGCTTGGTAACAGGAGGCCATGTGGTTAGGATCACTGGCATGCCACTAAAATGAAAATCCATCCACTAAGTCGTCATCCCAGGGCAAGTCACATTAATTTACCAACGTGGCAAACTGCAATTATTGCTCAAAATGACATTCATTGCTGTATGACAACATTTAATACTCTCTAAAAAAAGTTCCTTAATTGCATGAATAATTTTAAATTACTGTAATTTGTTCACGATTCTGTGAAAACCTTTTTTTTTCCTTGAAAGATAAAAGAAACAGAAGAATAATGGAAAGCCTTAAAAATTCTATAACCAAGTTGCAGAATTTAGGGGATAGTGTTGAACTAGTTGACACTGGAGTTCTATAAAGCAAAGTAAAGATGAATAACTTAAAATCACAAGTATGTTAAGAAGGAAAGTCTATACTCCCAGGAGGGTCAAGCTCATTACATTACTATGCCCTGCCTTTTAATTTACATTCTTAAAAATTCATATTCAACAGACATTTTCCCATTTGCTTTTCTCCATATTAAAAAAATTGACTTCTGTAACCATAATTCATTAAAACAGTGAAAACAGATATTGTCACTTTTATTCTTCTTTGCCATCATTATAAAATTTTATTAATTTTGGAGAAGCCAAAAGATGTACTTTTGGCAGAAATGAAAGATAACAACAATGTATTTTAATAACCTCAACTTTAGTTTCTATAAAATCAATGTGAAACAAAAAGTCTTCAGGTGACCTCCTCACTCGGTGAGGTCTACGCTCCGCCCCCCCCAGGGCGGGGCCAGGGGGGCTCCGTCTGATCGGCGGCAGCTTGGGGTTAGGTCTCCTTAACTACGAAAAGGCCTCCCTGCCCACGGGCACTAGAAGACGTGTGCGGCCTGCAGCCAGGACACAGGCCCTCGCTCTGCCACGTGCGGAGCTGGTGGCCACACACAGAGGGGGCGGCAGCACCCAGCGTCCCGCGAGCGGCCCCCCAGCAGGGCTCTGCGAGGTGGGCGGCAATCAGTGGGCCTTCTGCCCAGCAGGCCTGGCAGCCCGCAGCAGCCCCATTCACCTACACGAGGCAGCACTTCCAACTTTGCAGAGACCCCGCATGTCCACTAGGAGTGGTGGCCTTTCTCTCACTGACACCGAGACCCCACAATGGACAGCAGGGCCCTGGGCGTGGAGGGCGTGGCAGCTGGATCCTTCCTACCACCCAGGCCGTGTGGGCGACACCCTACCCTCTGAACACACGGGGAGGGCAGAGGAGGGCAGGAGGGGGCAGCGCACACATCTACCAGGGAGGCTCTTCTCGGCAAGGTCCAGACTCTCAAACACACAAGCGGGGCGCGGATGCCAGCAGTGGGGTGTGTGGACAGCAGGGGAGGAGAGGAGAAGACCCCTAAGACTGCCCCCCAGGGTGTCATCTCTGGGGCACGTGGCCCCCTTCCCAGGGGTGTCTAATGCACCAAAGTGAGCAGACGTGGGAGACAGATGCACAGAAATCCCCAGGGTCTCCCTTGCCCCCTGCCACCTGACCACCGTGTTTCATGGCACAGGTGTGACGGTGTGCATGGAGATGCCTGGTGGGGAGGGCCCGGCTCCTTGGGAAACCGCCTCGGCACCTCTGAATGGCAGAGCCTGGGCCCAGAGGCCTGAGGCTGGCAGGCACGTCAGGAATTTGAAACGTGAAGACAGTGGTGACCTCGTCTTACTCTGCACTGGGAGGAACGGTTGTAAGCTGCTGTAGTGCAACCCAGTAATTCCCACTCTGTGGGAGTTAATGCTTCTTTGCTGCCTTAACTTGGCCTCTGTGTGCTTCGGATTCTTAGGACTGCACGAAATGAGGAAAGAAAATCTGCTCCAAAAAGCTCAGCAGAATCTGGGATGTGGTGGCCACTGGCCAAGAGCAAGGACGCTCTTGGCTCCACAGTGGGCCAAAACCTGATACAGTTGCCACCGTCATAAACACACATGGACACAAAACCTTCAGGAAGAGTTTTCCCCTGTGTACCCATCCTTTGTGTCATCCATGCTTAACTTCCTATGCACTGTAAAGAGGAGGTCCAGATTTGAAACCTAGGACACTTTAAAAGTCAATTTTCCCTGGAAATCTCCCTCTGACCTTTGATTTCCTTTGTGAATTGCTTTCTTATCACACCCACTCTGGAACAGTTACCATGTGCCCACGCAGGGGTCGCGACCACCCACATCTTCCTGCCTGAGCAAAAGCTAAACTCCTAGAAGAGGACCGGCTATAGAGCGTTCAAGCCTGTGTGAGTGACAACATGAAAAAGCACCATTAGGAGCTCGTGCACCTGCTCCGGCTGCCCCCCAAGGCAGGGGGCAAGCAGGACGGCTGGAGGAACGGCAGCTGGGCCAGGGGCGCTGGCTCACCTTCACGTTGGGAGTGTAGAGGTTCCTCAGAGAGGCGAGGGCAGCAGACAGCCCCTCAGTGCTGTACCCGATCCACAGCGCTTGGAGATGGCTCGAAGAGATTCCTGTCTTCTTACTGAGGCCCTGGAAACAATCACAGACAACCTGGCCTCAGCGTCTCCCTCTGCACCTGCAGCGTCAGGCTGCAAGCGGGTGCGGAGGCTGCTGACGCATGGCGCACACCAAGAATGCCTGGACCTGTGAGTCTTCCCTTCTGAAACCAAGCTCCAAGGAACTAGCCTGCCTTTGTCACATGAACTGGTACACCTGGGGAAAGAGATGGCGGCTGAGGAGGAGGTTCCCTCGTCAACCAGAGGAGGAATCAAAGATGGAATATCACCACTGTCACAAAGGAGTGAGTCCAGGCAGAGAAGCAAACGCCAAAGCGGTGCCTCCAGAAGCAAGAAACCCCATCCACACTTACACAGGGTTTAAACTCCTTAGGCATAACTATAATCAATGACACCCTGCCAAAAGCAAGCCAAACCAGAACCTGGATTAAGGAAATCTAAATGATAGGAACTCCAGGGGGAAAAGCAACATGTTAAACCAGACCATGAGAAATAAGGTCCTGGTCAGAAAACGCAGGTGGTGCACAACACGGTCACACAGCTCAGGTTCTTCAACTAAGTAACAAGGCAACAAAAGAGAATGAATGAAGTCTTTTTCACCTTTAGGTAAGGGGGAAAACATAACGTTTAATCATAGCATTTAGAAGCACACTTGAGGGACTCTAGGTCAGAACAGTGGTTCCTTTTAGGGAGGAGGTCGTGATTGGCACAGAGCTCCCTTTAGCGTGGGAGGTCGTGATTGGCACAGCACTCACAGAAGGTTCAGAGAGGGCTGGTAAAGCTGCTGAAAATCTCCAAAACCAAAGACTCAAAGTGACAACAGTGAAATCCCTCTTCCCAGTGATGTGTCTCACCTTGAAAATGTGCGCCTTCAGGATGTGATGGCCGAGCTCCATGGTCTGCTGGCGGTTCAGCTTGCCCTCTTGTCGGGAGAACATGAATGCCAGGAGAGCGTGCCCGTTCCTAGGACAGGAAACACCAACGCTTGTAACGGAAGACCCCATTCCAGGTGCCACAGGCCCTCAGGTGTGCACCCTGCCACACGAGCCCTCAGCTGCTCTCTTGGCGCGTCAGTGTCACTGCACAGATGGGTGCAAAGCTGTCTCTACAAAGGACAGTCAATGCTGCAGGTCACTGTAAGGGCTTCTCTGGACTCCCCCGTCTTTGTGGAGAGACCCAGACAGCAGCTCGAGGACACAGCGGGTCTTTGTCTTTGGAACCAGCCTCTCTCTGTCCCTCATCCATCACTTATCACCTTATTTGTTGGTTTATGTCCATCACAAAAATGCCAACTCCATGAGACTAAGGGTCTTGTCTAACTCACAGCTAGAGTCACAATGCCTAGCAAATGCCCAATGCTTACTAAACACTCAAATAAGCTAATGGATGGACAGATTTACAAATAGTCAGATGGAGCAGAACTATCACAGGACCTGGCACTCAGGCCTCCCCTCGGCATCATCACCAAAGGAGTGGACCTGGGCCCAAGGACGGCCTGACGACGGGAGGAAAGGAAAACCAGGCCATGCACAGCAACAGCTCATGATCAGGAACACCTAGAATTCTAGGCTTGGAAGGAGCATGGATCCTTGTGGAGAGGGGGGAAGCTAAGATGTATGGGTGGGCTTGCTATGTCTGGACACATGATGGACCTCCTGCTGATGTGGGCATTATGCCGCGCACGCCCCCTCCATGCCTGCAGGACCCACCCTCTCTCCTGTAGGCTCCCTGCCTTTGAGCCCATTGGTTCGGCATAGATGCTAAGGGCTACTTATTCCAACAGCAGCAACTTCTGAGCTATCAACGTAACAACTTCGAAGTGCTATTTCATCAGGAAAAAGCAGATAGTTGTGGAAGGAAAGATAACCATTATGAAAAAACTGTGCATTCTCCTACATGTTTTCTAGTAGTTGCTAACAAGCATCATTTAGATAGTGTTTAGCTATCCAGATGCATGCCTGTTTTGCAAATACACTATAAACCATGTTAGAGATGAGGAAATCAAGGCAGGTGGAGACCAAGAGATTGCTTGTTATAATACAAGAGAAGGTACAACTTGAGGCCATGCTGCCGCAGCGTGTCCCATCAGGGACCGGAGCTCACCCCTGAGCACACACCGAGCGTCCCTGCACACGCTCTCCTTCCAGACCTCGAGCTTGTTTTGCCTCTCAGATGAGATTCTCTCACGCTCCCATCCCACCTGCAACCTTGTTCCCATGGAAACTGCCCTCTGCCACCTTCCTGTGCTCCAGGCCCCCACACCCTCCCTAATCCCTGTCTGTGGACAGGTTCCAGGGTTCGACACCCACCACTCCAGTCAGGACCACTCTCCTAACCATGAACTGAGCTAAGCCATTCTCAATCTCCCCGAGTGCTGAGCTCTGTGGCCACACGACTCTGTCCACCACAAAGACACACCAAGCTAAGGACACGGCTGGCCCTTATGGGGTGGTGACCACGCACCCTTCCATGGCCGGAGCAAAGGTTTCCAGTGCCCTCAGCTGAGCACGGGGCTTCCCACCTCTTTGAGACCATTCCCCCATGCAATCACTAGCCACCTGTGCCCTCTGTTTCCCATTTACCTTTTCCTCCTCCCCTCCTGGTCTCTGGATCACGTGTCCCCTTCTCAGTCTATGGGCACTGATGAGTCTGTTTTCCAAAGCTAATGTATATAAAGCTTTTACTATATGCCAGATGCAGAATCGTCACTGAATTATTTCATCAATCCACACAACCCTGTGAACAGGTATTATGATTTATGTTTGTTTACATAAGGCGACAGAGGCCTGGACAGGTTAAGGGATCAACCAGCTGGTAACCGGCTGAGCACAGAGATTTAACCACGGTCTCCCCAACATGGGCCTGCGCTCTTAGTGTAACAGACTGCAACACCCTTGTTCCACCTACTGAAATTCTGTCCACGCACTGAGCAGGTCAGTAACCATGGAAACGAGAGGTGGGGACTAGTCAAGACTTTAAAAGTCCTTATGTGACCATAATGAATAGATGAATGCAGGAAATGATCATTAGTGGCTCTGAGAGACATTATGACATTGTGCGCCTCCTGATGGAAGTACTCACTACCACCTATTAATAGTCTGGCAAAGAAATGTCTTTAAACTCTGGGGAAGCCTCTAGATTTAACTACTAATTTATAGGAAATACAGGTAATAGATGAACACACATTAAAAAACACCATGAGAATGAAATCATTAAAAATTCAGATTATGGGAAATTATACAGGGCAAACTACCCAGTTGCTCTATTTAAACAAATAAAATGCCAGGAAAAAAACAAAAAAAGGAAGAGGTGGGAATCTATAGATGAAAAGAGGCACTGTAAAACCCAATTTATGGACTTTATTTGGAACCTGATTCAAGCATACTAGAAAAATATGAAGTGGAGAAATTTGAGCACAGCTAAATGCGTGATGATACTGACGAATTAATATTATGTTTTAGGTGTGATAATGGTATTGTTAACTGAAAATGTCCTTATTTTGAGGTAGATAATCAGTTATTTAAGGAAAAATCTTATGTCTGCACTTTGCTTTAGCAAAAATAAGATGTGGCAACTACTGCAAAATGTGAATCATGTGTAAGTCTAGGTGATGTGAATGAAAAATCAAAGCAACTTTATTCTTCACCTTCATAAATCTGTTCCAGGAATTCTAACCCAAGGAATAGTCAAAAACAGGAAGGAAAGAAGGGACAGAAACAAGGAGAGGAGGAAGGGGGAGATTCTCTTTAGCACTTCTCTCACATCAGGGCCACCGGCACCCAGGGAGGAAATGCTCTCCTTTTCACAGATAAGGAGACCAAAGCTTGGAGAATTAAAATAACTTGTGCCTAGGAATCATAAAGGTATTGCTGGAGACAAGATTTTAATCCAGATCTTCCTCAAGGTCTTTCTACCGCTTTCCTATGAGGAACTGAGGTATTCGCAGCAGGTTTTTATGTTTGTAAGTAACCCAGAATCAACTCAAAGGCCCCACAAAAGGGTTTGAAGTTCTTAGCCCTTGCCTACAAGGAGGCTTGCAGAGACATGAAAAATGACACTATACCAAGCTTTCCAGTCTGCTAGGATACCCATGATGTGTAGGCAAAACTTGGACAGGAATTTTAATATCAAAAGATGATTCAAAGAACGTTTAAAGTACATGGATAAAGACAGAAATAAAAAGTGAAGGGTCAGTCCCTGGGTAGTAGGTTCTTTTCGTCTTTGTAATTGGAGCAAAATTACAACTGATTGGGGTGGGATGAGAAATGTCATTCATGTTGTCTTCCAAGGCCCAACCCAAACATCACCACGTGTGTGAAACATTTTCCAGAAATGGTCTCCCCTCAGCTGGAAGCTTCTTTCTCCTTCCTGAAGTCCCAGGTACCATGTAGCTTCCTGCCTCGCCCACCCTCCTGCCTGTGCGGGAAAGGCCCTGAGCGCCAGGCCCTTTTCCCAATAATCTGTATCTGCATGTAGTGGGTCCACAAAAACTTTTGCGGAACTAGATCTGGTAGCATCCTCCCAACGTCATTCTGCAGGCCACGGCAAGAGCCAGGCAGACGTGGTGGACAGGAGCACCCCCAAGCATTGCACCCCCAGCTCCCTGACCTCTCACACCCTGACTAGCACCAGGCCACATGACAGGCAGGCTCCCCACCTCCCCTTCCCAGATCCTCAGGAGAACAGCATCGTGGCCTGGCCCTGCTGCACAGCCTCAATGGCACCTTTGACTCCCTGGACACAGCTGCTCTCCCACCGCCCACTAAATGTGGGACTTGAGATTGGCACCTGAGCTCTGCTGACCCTGCAGCACAGGCTGTTTCTCCGCACTGACCCACAAGCAAACCGAGGTGGCCAGGAGCCACCACTGCACTCCCCTGCTCCCTCTGGGCTGCCAACATGCTGGATCCTACATGAAGAGGTAGCAGTGGAGGGGTGCTGCTGGGGCCCCGAGACAGGCCAAGACTCCCAGAGGGAGAAACTGAGCTGTGAGCCGCCTCCAGAGAGCTGATTTCACACCTCCTGTGACCTTGTAAAGGAATGGGGTCTGCAAGGGAATGGACGGCACCAGGACCTCTCCCAGGCACTGCCAAGCTTCTCTTTCAGCGAAACGTATGGCGGAATCCTAACATGCTAGCAACTAAAGGAGGGGCACTTCACTTAGTAGCAGACTCTTCCACTGCCCCTCCTGAATTATTCATTCTGCGTTGCCTTGCCATTAAAAAAGGTGAACTGTCTGGAAGCTCTCCCCTGCTGCACATCAGACTTCCTGCAAAGAGCTGATAGGAGTGGCCTGCCCTACCTGGGCTCACACAGGAAGGCTGTGTTTTCACCATCTGCTCTCCAGACAAGCCACTCCCTGAAGGACGGGTGGCAGAACATGCGAGTTTTGTCGCGCCTCTTAATGAGGAAGCAGGAGAGGGCGTCCATCCTCTGCTGGAAGTCTTCCCACCCCTGCTCCCCCTGTATGTGGCCAGCATTAATGGCCTGGAAAATCTGCTCGTCCGTCATGGGGTGGAGGGATGCAAGGGCTACGTTTAAGATCGGCAGAGCTCTCTCAAAGGCAGACTGGGTCATGAACTTCATGTTGCACTGCAGCAGGTAGAGCTCAGACAGGGACACAGGCACCACCTTGTAGCTGGCACTTTTGATGACCAGGTGTCCCCTCTGGAAGAGGTCCAAGGTGAGTTTGAGGTACAGGTAGGAGCCGAGGCTCCGCAGCACCAGGTGGCTGCTCACTTTCCCGATGAGGGCGGCGTCGGCCTTGCCATTCAGGGAGATGTTGCTGAGGATGTCCTGGCTGCTGCGGACCCTGTGCTGGACGTAGGCATGCAGGTCGCTGTGAATGTCTTTGTTGTCTGGGAAGTCATCCAAGGAGAGCTTGACAAATGGCAGCGTGCTTATGATTTCCTACGAGAAACACAAAATGCCACGCCGTCACTCCACGGGAATTTCTTTTTATGCCAGCTGCATTTCAAACCAGATTCACTAGTTTTCTTTCAAGGAGGATTTTCATGGATTACAGGGACTCATTGTTTTGTATTAAAACATGTAATAGGATAAGTTGAAGATAAAAAGCTTATACGAAAGAAATCCTGATGCGAGATGGAATCACGAACGGCCTTCCCGAGGCCCTCGCCCAAGGACTCGGGGCCAAGCGAGATGTAAGAGCCCCTAAGACAGTGGCAACCTGGCCCTACCAGCAAAGGGGCTGCTAGACCCTAAGGGCACTGATACCCATAATCCTCACACTGTGCAAATGGTTATGTAACAAAGACAAACACAAGCCATCAGTGAACACCTACGAACACAGCCAGACACTGAGATATGAGGCATCCTTCGTGGTGCATCGGATACGGGGGCTGCAAAACCGAACCAGGAAATCTGAAACTGCCCCCTGGCTGTGTCCCAGTGCCAGCCTGCTGCAACAAGCGCCAGACCTCAGTCTAGCCTGCTATCATTTTTCAAACTGCCCTTTTTTAAAGGCAAACTTATAAATCTAAGTGTAACATACAGAGGGGCACAAGTCAAAACTGTAGGGTCATTAGTTTTGACAAAGTCAAATACATCTGTGTACCCAGCAGCCAGAAACAGACCACCACCAGCTCCCAGAAGTCCCATGTCCTCTCCTGTCTCTCCTTCATCCCAAAGGTGAGCACTACCCCAGCACCCGAGGAAAGAGGGTTGTGTTTTTTTCACATTTCCCACTGTCATTTCTGAGGTATTTAAGTACATGTCCTCATTGAATGTAATGACTGGAGGAGGAAGGCTCCGTGCAATCGCTCCCACTTCACGCAGATACTAATGAAACCTCTGGAAACTTACACAGCTAGCGTGGAGCACAGAGGACTCTTATTCCTGTGCTTCTCCAATGCCAATTTCTGCTTAGCATGTGAAAAAGGACTGAGAAGTGTAAGAATCAAATGTCTACAAAAACAAACAGTGAGTTTGACTGACTGAGATTTAATGCCACTAATAATGAGAAAAGAACCCAAGTGCTATTTTTAAACAAGTATCATCATGAAAGGGCAAAAATAAAAAACTACTGTCTAATATCTTTACTAAAAAAGGACAGGAGTAGAAGAAAGGAGTCAAGGGTTGTTAAGATATATTTTAGGGTTCAAGTGAGGGGAGAGACGAGGAAGAGAATTTAAAAACAAAACAAAACCACTCTGTCCAGCTGCAAGTGTTACCTCAGGTTTAAGTTTTATGAAAAACCAGACCTTCTTTCAGAAAAGGCCTTAGAAGTCTCTCCTCTTTATTCTTCCCTTTTCCCTTCATAGAAAAACTAAATCCCCCTGCAAACCCATACAAATAACTACCAGCTGGAATGACTCGAGTGAATCTGCCAGCCACACACCTCAGAGAGCTCCCCAAACCGAATGACAGTGACCTGGGGCAAAACACTTGGATTTAGCACAGGGCCAGTTCAATGCTACCGTGATAAAGGTGACCTGGGAGGTAAAAAGATCAGATTTTCTTTCCCATTTGGGGCTCTGTGGACTAACATTTCAAAGTTCTAACATGGTTTCCAATTCAGCAGCTGTTGTAGTAACAGTTTGTTAGTATTGATCACTACAAAATTTAGGTATGGGGCCTTGGAAAGAGATTTGAGAATTCTTTTTTACCTGAAAATTTGCTCTTACAGTCACAATCAACTTCAACCAGGCAGGAAATTTAGAAATAATTCTGGTAATAAATGAAGAAAGCGTATCTCCATAGTCAGGTTTATGGAACTCAGCTTCATTTAAGCCATCTATCAAAATAATGTATTCTTCTTCAGGAATTTTCTGCTCTAAAGAATAAAATAATATTTTTAAATTAAGAAATCATACATTTCTATGAGATGGCACCACCCTCTGTGTTTTAATGCACAGTTCCAAGTGTTAGAAAAACTAAGAAGGTCTACATATGGCAGAAGAAATGGTTCTCACAGAAGCATATTTTCTATTAAATTTATGATGAAAATCAGAGCACAGAGCCAAAAGAAAGCCAAATCTCACAAAAGTTTCCAGAAACATATCGCATTACACACATTAGCAGGATCTCACCCCTGTCTATGACACAGTTAGCCCTTCATAACCTCCTGGCAGCGGGGGAGCTATAGCAAAGGTAACCAGCACATCCTGAGATGAAATCTGGAAAACAATCTGTGCCCCTGTATGACTCCTTCATGGGTTCCAGGGAATGAGACCTGACCCGCAAGGGGCAGAGTCCTTGGCCCAAGAAGGCACATGGCCAGCCCGTGGTGAGAATTCCCCTTACAGACTCCGAGAGCAGGGCTCCTTCCCACAAGCCTGTTCCGTTATTAGCACTGGATCTGATCCGTTATTAGCACCAATTTTCTGCCCAGGGAACTGAGAAGCAATGATGACATGCTTGTTTCAGTCCCTTTCTCCAGCACCTTCTGGCAGAAGTGCTATGTAGGCAGGTAAACTAGCTCAAAAAGGTGAGAAGCAAAGAAGGATGGAAAACCAAACGGACCATAATATCCATAGTGTCCCCACCTTGCAGAATATTCATGCACAAAAAAAATCAATGGACACGTGTTGAAAAGATGTTCGGTTCAACTCAACTGAGCCCTGAAAGAATAGATGCTGGCAAGTTCCCCCAACGATCACTTATTACCCTGCTGCACAGAGTACCAACCATGCCAGCAACAGTTTCTAGTGCACAGGTCATCTAAATAGCCTACAATTACATTAGCTATCTGCAAATCTTTAACTGTTCAGTTAATTCTTTATTAGGGGTGTTTCCTTTAAAATGATGACACTGGGTGGTGGGGGCCAGGCAGGACTCTGTGGAGAGGATTCTGAGGAAGGGGCGAGGGGTACTGACTCTCGCATGTCTCTCTGCACCGACTCCCATCCTGAAGCCAAGCTGACCCCGTGTCTGAGGACTGTCCTGGGGACTCTGGGCTCCTAATGACAGAGGGTGGGGGGCTGCTCGGAGGTACCGTTTCGCAGGTTGGTGAGCGGTTCCAGCACTCCCCTCTTGAAGGCAGCTACCGGGTCCTGCACGCAGGACCTGAGGCTCAGCATGCCCTGCAGCTGGGGCTCCTTTATCAGCAGGTCTCTGTAGGCGGCCAGCTGATGGGAGCGGCAGAGCAGAGCTGCGACGCTGTGCACAAACTCGGGCACCAGGCACGTGTAGGTGTTGTCGGCTTGGCAGTAGTGGTAGGCCACGACCTGGGGGGAGCAGAGCCGTCAGCATCCCCTCACCCTTGTCACACAGCTCCTTCCACAACCTCAAATGGGGAAGTTGTTCTCTCTGTTCCCTGTGACAGCAAAGTAAGCAGCTTCTATTCTCTGCAACTGAGCTATTATTCAGCTTCATTGATTTATTCCTTTCTTCATTTACATGGTTTGTTGAGTTCTAGGCAGACTTTTAACTGATACACTTTGATCAGCACAAGTTACTCTATAATGAATATAATAAAGTCATTCATAACACCTAAAGCCTTCCCTGGCTTAAAGCAATGCTGGACAATCCTGAAGTTTTTGATATCCAAAGGTGCCGTATCCACTATGTTTCTGTCTTTAAAAACAGCTTCATCTCCTTGGGAAACCCATTTGCCACTCCCAAAGAACAGATAAAGTTGGCAGCTGTGGAAGTCAGGCTAAGAAGTGACAGCTGCTTCCTCCCCCAGTAGAAGGGCTGGGCAGCCTGGTGCAAACCCCCAGCCTCACTCCATACCACACCTCAAGTGACAATGTGGGGAAGTTCAACAGCAACACTGTTGAAGGATTGAAGACAAAAACTGTCAAATGTCTGCCTATCATGTGAAGGCACAAGCAGCAGACAGTCCCCGTCCAGGCCCTGAGAGTGTGCGCTGGTTTTACCTTTGCTGGAACAGACTAAGTGGCAGGCGGCTGTATGTTAGGGACCCCAACGGAGGGCAAGTGCGGAAGCGTATTGGCAAAGAGAGACATGTTGCAGACAAATGAAGAATCTAATACTTTCCCAAATGAGGATGAAAGGAGGAATATAGGTATGAGGTAAGGTAGCTGAGAAAGGTCAAAACATATTTGTGCATGTGCTTTATGGTTTTCAGAGTTTGGGTCCCCATTGTCCTGTTCAGCACTACACAACCCCATCATCTGCGGAACAAGGGCCACCAGGTCTGGTTTCCAGCTGAGCGCAGAGGACACACAGGCTAAGTGCCCTGCCAGGGGAACACACATAGTCCCTGGAAGATCTGGGATCAGATCCCAGATCTGCAGACTCTTAAAAAGCAGGTGGCAAGAGTAGATGTTGCCAGTTGGGAACCACTTTGTGACTTCTGTTTTAGATTAAATTTATTACCACCGCTCAGAGGAAGGCCGACTGTGCCTCCACTGTTGGACAGAGGTCAGCAGGAGCATGCGAGGACCCAGGAGCGCACACAAACCACCACGGAGATGGCCAATGCCACAGCCTATCGAGCATGGTGTTTGACAAGAGAAGTCTGGCAACCAACAGTGGCTCATGAAGTCAATCTGGAGCCATAACAGATTTTCTTTCTTTTAAATTCAGTGAAGCGAGTTTTACAGGATGTAAGAGTAAGTGTAGTCTTAGAATGCTTGTGCTGCAGTCATGTCATCGTGTGTGTGTGAGCGCCAGGCCTTCAGGTTTCCTTAGTGCAAAGTCACTCTGGTCTGAAACATCACTGCCACAGGGCAGCTTTGAAGTGTGCGCTACGATCCCTCCTCTCAGATCACCCGCTCCTGACCAGAGGCCTGCACCGGCCAGGGCACCCAGGCTGCCCGTGCTGGTGAGGAGTGGCCCTCGTTGGAGACGCAGAAGCATGGAGCAGGGACGTGGGGCAGAGAAGCATGGTTTCAGTGCACCTGCACCAACCTCTCTGCCAGGGCATTTCCTTACCAAATGCCCCTCGCCCCTGCCCGCCTCTTGTGGCTCTCCACCTCCACCTGCTCACACCACTGCTGCCCAAGGAGACTCAAGCCACCCACCCAGACTGAGAGATGTACCTGCTTTAATGCAGGAGGGTAGCTTACGAACCCTGTGGTGTGTGCTCACAGATGGAAAATTCCAGAAGGAACTTGACCATGAGTCTAGGAAGGGAAAGTCAGCCAAGTCTGTCTCCTTATAATATCACAAGAAACCTCTGACAGGAGGACAGCGAGGGCTCCAGACAACAGAGGACAAGTGGAGGTGGCCTGGCTCATGTCCAAGGCCCCCCAATCTTCTGCTCTCATACCAGGTGAAGGAAAGCACATGCTTGGAAGGGTGGATCTGTGGCAGGTGCAGCGATTCCTGCTGCTGCTTTGAGGAACTCTTGATCCATTGTTTAAGATGAGTAGAAGTCCACGGCTAGTGTCCTAAGATCTATTTTCACTGATTCATTTGGAGTACTCTATCACGATGTTATCAAAAGCTGTACTTTTGTATAAAGCAATTATTGTCTCTGATTTAAGAAGCCTTTTTAAATTCATTTCTCAGAAGCCAAACTAGCAAATCTCTTTCTCTCTGGAAGACTCCCCAAGAACAGGAGCAGATTACCTTAGAAGCGAGGTATTTCACTGCATCCTCTCTTGGTCTCTGGTTCTCGGGAGCATCAGACCCACACCCAGCGGGTGTTTTAGCCATATTGGTACCACTTGTAGAAGGACTTGGTGAAAGCAGTGGAGTGAAGGAAAGATCCTGGGAGGAATCTGAAGCTGCACGAGAAGAGACCAACCATTATTTACAGACAGAATAGGATACAGTGGGATGTTGAATGTATTTCTTCATTAGATCCAAAGCGTATTTTAATAGATAATGAATGAACATGGTACCAAACGCAAAGGTCCAAACAAGAACGCAAGTCTCCCTCTCAGCCTGTCTCCCATCCTGCCAGGTGACCTCCCAGGAAAACTGCCATTTCTGGTTTCCTTTATTAAATTCTCTTTTGGTTTAAGAAGAAGAAAATCTTCCCTGGCTCAATTTCTCCCATTCACCATGTTAGGCACACCTTCTTTTAGTGGGTTTATTACACATAAAATAAGCTGTGAACAGTCACATATTTGCTGCTCCATCTCATCTTAAGTTAGTTTGTATACTTTTGGCAAATGCAGTATTAAAAGACAAAGGCCATGGAGAGCAAAAGAACTCCATGGAGAGCAAAAGAACTCCGCACAGATTCCTTCCGGCTTGCTGTGCCAGGAGCCTAACCCCCGTGGTTTCAGGACGCCGATTCCCAGGGCCCTTGATGCGTGCCCACAAACACAGGGAGACAGGCCTTCCAGGCGGGAAAGCACCAGAGAAGGCCGGCCTCGCGCCAGGCTGTAGCCACGCGCACGCTGTGCTGGATGGAGGCGGCCCAACAGTTCTCTAAGACGTGATCCCAAGCCCGGTGCAGCAGCTGGAACGACTTGGGGAAAACTGGGAATTTATGCCAAGCCAAACAGTCATTTCCTCCAGCTATCATATGTTAATATAATAAACGAAACAGGTCGTTCAACATGGACATACTTTTAGGTGATGGACTTGGGCTGTTGGAAGCGATCTGCCTCATGCGGCTTCCGTGGCAGCTGAGTGCCACCAGCTTGGAGATGATGGCCGTCTTCCCAAAGCCCACGTTTCCAACCACCACCGCTCCTCTGTTTTCTGTCAATTCTGTGTTTCTCAAGTTTTCTTCTATCTGGTGGAAGAGCCAATCCCGTCCCACAAACACAGAATCAGTTGTTACGCTTGGTACTTCAAACAACAGCGGTTTCAACAAAATGTCTTGAGGCTTGTAGGGAGCGAATCGTGCTTAGAAAAAAAAAAAAGATTATTTCAGAAGAATGTCATCATTTTATACACTAAAAAATCTCCATTTATCATTGTTTGTATGATACACTTAGTATACTTTATAGTTTGACCCCACAAAGGATCTGTAAGTATTTCCAATCTGGTTCTATTAATACTCCTCTAATCCCTCATTTATCATACCCCACAGTCTTCTGGAGAGTCCTATAAAAATGACTTTCTAGTCCTTTGTGGCTCTAAGTTATTCTCATGACTCAAGGCACACACATAGGATTAGAGAATGTGACACAAGGGGCCAAACGAAGTCTCAGGGATTTATCTGAAACAGCATCTAAGACACGTTCCTTCCACTACTGTATGAGTAAAATGGAACTGTGTCCCTCGAGACGGGGCCGCAGCTCACCCGGGTGTGAGTATGTCTGGCCCCCTGTGCCGAGTCTGTTGACTGCACAGATGCACACTACGGGCAGAGCAGGAGGTGGCCAACACAGCCCAGGGAACTGAAACAAAACCAATTGTTGGTGACAAAAAGTTCTAGGGAGTGTTAAACTACCTCTCACTCTAACATACTGCAGAAATATTTTTCAACTCCAGAAAAAAGTTAATCACATATTTTAAGGGAGATGCCCCAAAATTAAAGGGCAGCACCCTCAGGACACCAAACAGATATTTCAGCACACACGCTCAACGTCATGTTTTTTAAAACAGCTGGCTTCAGGGCTAGTTATTCACATGCTTTCAATGGTTAGTGAATGAGCTTATCACACCCATTATCACAGCGGATGCAAAGATAAATACCTTTAACTTCCTGTGCCCTACCTCCGGCTGTATTGTGCCACGGTAATCTAATTGATGTTCGAAGAGGAGCATTTCTCTGCCCATCTAAATAACTCAGATCTTCCAATTTGGTTGAGCTTGTCGCTGTAATATTAAACTGAAGTTTAGACTCCAAAGCTGAGGTCAGTGTCATACCAAAACGACTACAAATTGGACATCACTACGCAATTCCATTCAGGCTTTCCACAATTTACTTCAATGTGATTTGGGTTTGTTTGCCTGTCCCAGTTTATTTTTCTGGCAATAAACTGAAAAGTGGTAAAAACCCAGTGCTCCTTGTTCCCAGCCATGTTGACATGGTTGCCAGAATTCTCCATTATTCCTAGAAAGAGACAGAAACTTCACCAAAAATTTTTAGGAAGAAATTTAATCAAGTGTCACTGAGCAAAGGTTCAACATTACTGCAAACACACAGCATGGGCACTAGAATCTTCTCTGAAGCTCCAGAGAGCCTTCCACGGTTGCTTGAAATTCCAACCTCATTAATAAGTCAGCAGATTTTGCATGTAAAATTCCACTGTGCTCAGAACACTAAAAGTCAGCTCTTGGCAGTAAAAATACCCATGTGGATTTTATCAGAAATAAACATATTTCTTAGCTTCAAATATTTATGCCTATATTATATGATACACTTTACTACACTTTGTATTTTTTTTAATTCTAAAAATAAGTAATCACATTTACCTTTGATCATATCAGTAAGATTCATAGCACATAGGTACCTGTTAAAAAGCATTAAGAATCTATTCAAACATATACATGAGTTGGAATCGAAAAAGCAATACAAAATAATTTTGCCAATTGTTAGCAAGTCCTCAAAGCAAACATACATGTTTTTTTGCCTTATAAAAAAACAAAAAACAAAAATCCTCATCTTCTTACATATATATCTAGGCCACAATGAGGGAAATCTAAAATTAACCTAATTTGGTTTCCGGGTTAAATGACCCAACGTAAAGTACTGCTGATCTGGACGTATGATTATTTTTCTGGATAACAAGGTAGAGGTGTTATTTGAGGGCAAATGAGTGGGGAGAGCCACATCCCAAAGGCTAAGGTTTCTAAGGACCCGTGGAACCACTGGTGGGACCAAGTTTTGAGGGACAGAATTCAAGCTGGGCTCTCTGCCTGCTGGGAACCCTCGGCCTAGCCCAGGGGCTCTGATGCAGCATCGAGATGCCAGTGGGCACCATCTGTCCAGTCTGGGCCCCTCCTGCATCCCATCCTAAGGCCTCAGTCTTTTCCTGCCCACTGTCAGCCCCTCATTTCTTTTTGAACAAGCACGTGGGGTCCAGGGTCTGGCTCTGTGACAGCACACCCCCTCTGACCTCATTTTGCAAAGGGTGAGCAACCGTGGACTCTGCTCACCTTCTCAGCCAAGGAGGAAACCCCTGACACTGTGACTCAAGCCCAGCATACACTCAGGCTTCCGCACCCTGGGGCACACATCCATGGCCTGCTTACACAGCGTGTGCACTACTGACGTCAGCACTCCACACAAACCTTTCCCAGTAGAGATTCTGCTGATTCTTTTCACAGGACTTTCAAGGGAGCCTAACTTAGGGGAGTCCCATGGCAACCTTTAGCTTCTCTCCAGGTCCTTCACAACCAGGGTGTGGAGACTTCCCGAAGGGCCAGAGGAGCGTGCCCAACACCCTGACTCCCTACAATGCAGTTTGGACGTGTATCAATGCCCCTGCCTGGGACCTGGGGCCCTGACAGGGGCTTCTGCAAGGGCCCCGCTCCTCAGCTCACTGCAAACACCCTGCGTGTTGGAGGCCAAGGTGGGCAGGGCTGCCCCAGCTGTGACCCAAACACCAGCTCACTGCAGAGGTGAAGCAGCCACGAGTCTACGACTGCTTCAGCCCTGGAAACACAAAGACCTGGGGCCTCCCAAGGGTTTCCCCTTTCCCTTCTTTCTTTGGCCTCCTAGAATACAACATTCAGTTTCTAGTTCTGTGATAACTGAAAGTTTTGAGACTATAAAGGGCACTCTAAAGACAAGACTGCAAAAAAGCCCAAGTTTGACACAGGTGTAGGATATGGCGGGGCTTCAAAACACCTGCTTCCGCCTCAAAGCACGCAACAGCCTCCATGACGCCGAGCTGCCTCCATTTCCACGGCAAACACCATTAAGCTGCATTGAAATGGACCATTGCTCAGCAGGCTACGAGCTGCCAGCTTTCTCTGCTCTCTCTGCTCTCACTGAGAGGGACTGGAGCGCCCCGGCACCCAGGGGTTCCCCATCCACCAGAGCAGGCCACAGGGACCACACTCTGTCCTCTTACACAGCTGACAGTAGATTCTCGGACGTTACAAAAAATGGACTCACTTCCAGTATTTAAAAATAAAGTCTTTCAAAGTCCTTGTTACTACTCAGGCTTGGGAAAAGTCAGAGGTAAAGCAATCATTCATGCTGCAATAAATACTGTTAATATATTTATACAATGAAATTATATATTTACTGCACACACACATTGGGTCTAAGAGGGTGAGAAGTACATGTTAGATGCTATAGGAAAGTTTTTTAGAGGGTTGGAGTGAGATGGGCTGTGGGAGCAGCAGAGGGAGCCGTCTCAGCTGAGCAAAGAGAAACACCTATGGAGACATCATGACCCAACCTATCAAAGGTGAATGCCTCTGAGTCCAGGGCAAGTAACAGAGCCTCAAGAAAACTGGCTGGTTGTGTTTGCTGGTTTCCTGAAAACTAGCACAGTGTTCTGTGATCCAGTTAGAAAGGATTTCAGAAGAAAAACAAAGGTAGTCAAAAATAGCAGAACCCAAATTCAAGATTATATAAAGACATCATTTTAAAGGCTTCTTTTCTGTTTTTTAATAAATATATAAGGTGCCCATGTGATGCATTTTGATATGGTATAGAGTAATAACCTGCCGTAGCATTCTAAACCAATTCCACTCTAACAAATACCTTTGTAACAAAAATCTCAGGATAGTGAAACAACCTCCAAACCTAACTAACTTATTTTTATAATCTTTAATATAAAAGCTTCACTGTACTAGACACTTAACACTGAACAACCATCATTCTCTGTCACAGGCTCAATGACAGCAAAGGCTGGCAGCCTTAGGAACTTGTTTTATACCCCATAACCCAGGGGCGCTGGGCCTTTAGGGTGCCATGAACAGAGGCCTGGCATTACCCTTCCTTCACCTGCCTACCAGTCCTTACCCTGCTCTCATGCACCAAATCAAATCTTTTGATGTTTCCTATCAATGGCAATTTATTCATGTTTGTGTGGATCTTCACATGCAAATAATTCTGAGAGATTGTAGTATATGGTCCTTTAGATATTATTTTAGTACTTCTAATATTGTGTTGCCTACTGCCCTGTTTGTAGCCTTCTTGTCACTAGACAAACAGTGCTGTACATGGTCTATATAACCTGAATCTTTTCTTTTTCATTAATACTTGCAAAAAAACCTCACCATTCTTTCCTGAGATTCAGCCTCAAGGGTAAAGAGGGTGGGCAATGAAGAATCTACCAGACACCCAGCTTAACAGATGCTATGAGGTAAGGCAATTGCCTACTTCCTTCCAAAATCTGTTTTTACTGTATAAAATATGCAACACAGGAGAAATGAGTAAACCCGTGAGGCTAGGCGGTCATTGCTCGAACTCTCCCCATGCCACAGGAGGTCTAGCTCACATGCACACGCAGGAGCTAACGCATGGGCACAGCAGAAACCAGAATGCCCGCTCTGCACTCACTGCCACCTCCTGGAAAAGCTCAGCTCACACCCACTGTCACTCCATGTGGCAGGAGACCACATAAAAGAACGCCAAGCAGGAAACATAACCCCAAACAGGTGCTTTTAACACTATTAAAGTATTAACGTGTTTCCCAATTTTAAAATAGCTTGATTAAACAGAATGTAAGTTTGCTATTTTGCTGAAGTCATAAAGCCACCACGCTGTGGGATAATACAAATGAACCAATCAGCATAACTAGGTAATAGGGTCTAAAATGCCCTGGGTGCAACACATTATACCATAGGGAGTGGGCGGGTGGCCGGAGGACACAAAAGCTTTTTGGAAGAACCATCACTCCATGCACAGAAAGCCTCCGGTACTTCTCTCGGGCACACAGGCCAACGCCCTCTTTCTGGAACAAGGCCATTCTCCTTCCTTTGAAAGTGAATTGGAGATGTGCCTCAGACCTCTTCCATTAGGGCCATTATGTACCAGCTGTTCTAAAGTTCCATTGTAAAAACCACCCAACCACCACCACAGTGGCCTGCCCCACCCCAGAGGAGCACTATAAATGACAGGAAAATCCTTTGATATTGAGGAAAAGAGGACCTGGGCCCATGCCTTAGCAAAGGAAACATTTTAAGTGCAGTATCGTTAACAAAAAATGACTGAAACAAGTTTGTCTTTTAACTTCAACCCAAGAGCACTGAGTTGAGACACTCAGGGCCTTAAAGCAGGCCTGACGGCTCCGAGTTCCTTCTCCCGCCACCCCGAACTATTCTTGCTTGAGCACCACCCACTGGCCGGTCAACTAGCAACAGTTACCACTTCTGTAGTCTGCTGAGCTCCAGGGCCCCATCTTGCTAAGGCTCATCCGTCTCCCCTGTTTTCATTTCCTCACTTGACAGCTCTCACTTCCACTGCGTATGTTTTAAGCTGTGAGCTCCCCTAGAACTGACCCGTGCAGAAACTGGACCTCCCTTCTTTACGATAGGCCTCAATTATTCAAAATAAGTTTGAAAGCCTAGATTAGAAATTCTCTGAGCTGATAGCAACTAACTCACTCTAAACAAGAACTCCCGTTTAACGAAGATGTAATGAGACGTCATGGATCTACTCAGGCTTACAAATAACAAAAATAAGGACATCCTTTCCAGTACTTTACTCCCTCCTACACAAAGAGCCACAGTGTTGCAATATTAGTTGTAAAGAATCAGAGCAGAAGGATCTCTTAAAGACCATTAAGGGCAGCCTCATCATGTTTACAGATGGGTAAACTGAGGCCTAGAAAAGATAAGTGCCTGACCCACGACCACAAAGCTGGCTTGTGCCTGGATTAGATTCCCATGTGAAGAGAGTAAACACGGGCACCTCAGACCCGGAGTGATAACCCTTCCAGGGAGAGGCATGGCCTTACCTGCAACTGAGTTGGGCCGTGGCATTATTAGTGAGCTGGAGCTCTGAGAATAAGGGACAGGACCGTCTCCAGCTGAGGCTTCAGCTTTGGGCAGCATGCTCTCCGCTGACCCAGCGGGCTCCTCTTCTGCCACTGGGGAGCAATTATCTGCCCTGCGGTCATGAAGCACTCCCTTCTGTACCCCTAACCTTAGGCTTCCGTCCTTATTCCATTCCAAACTGGAGCCACTCCGGTCATCATTTTCGGATGAACTTGTAATTGTGGCTGAAATGAGAGACCAAAATACTTTGAAGGAGGCCGGGCGGGCGTAGCTGGGGCTGTTGAGAGTTCACACACACACCCCTGCCCTCCCCCTTATCAATGGAAAGCTTTCCGGTCCACACAGATTTTTATCAAAGTACGTTTCATACAATGTATTTTGGTTAATTAGAAGAATGTTGCTTATCAGGGAAAATAAAGTGCCAGATCATTTTGCAGGGGAGGAAAAAACTGGTAAGATAATGAAAAACTGTCTAGAAGTATCTGAGTTAACTGTAAATCCATGTAATCTGGAGATGATGTAACCTCTTTCAAAAAAGATGAATTGCTCACAAACGAATTTACATCTCATTAGATTCTTTTCAACCTTTGTTTTTTCCAAATTAACAACATTGTGTATGGGGGGAGAGGGCATGGTAGCACAATGGTTGATGCAGAAAAGATGCAGGAGAAAATCTATAAAAACAAAAATACAATTATAAAGTAGAAAATTTGATCCTTAGAATTAAACTTTACAACATCTGTTGAAGATGATTCAGAAAAGCTGACCTTTATTCCTTTAATGTCATAGAACGGAAAACCTCTATGTAACCAGCACCTGGGAAGGGATGCTTGACTGCAGAATTAAAATCTAACCTCTAAGAAGGAAAACAAGCACAGAAAACATCTTCGCAAAAGAGGAGGAGTATATTGAAGGAAAGCAGCAATATTCACCCTATGTAGCTTCTAGAAACAGCCACTTCCGTATTTCAAGATGCTGAACCACACGTAATCCCTTGCAAGCATAGGTTACCATAGACACAACAGTGGCTTGTGTGCGCAAGAACAGAGGCCATGTCCTCTGATCCCTTTGTGTTCCTTGTTTGGGTTCTAGCCGCCTAGGCCCTTAACTGCAAGACTTCAATGCGAGTGCCCTGGTCAGGGTGTACTCAGGACCCAGCGCCTGGATTGCGCTGCCTCATGGACATACCAGCTGATGCATGCTGTATCAGCAGGCTGGTCAATCAGCTCCCACAGAGCCTGTTATCTAGGATCAAAAGGTCTGCAGGGGTTTTGTTTTATTTTTACAATGCTCTCTAAGGTTTCAAAGTGCAGACAAAACAATTTCCTCTCTATGACCACAGGGCCTTCAGTCACAATTCTAAACTATCTCCGCTACAGCTGCTCTCGTCTGGACTTAGGGTATTTCAAAACCTTGGCTATTTCAAAGCCCCTCCCACCACACTGAAGCCTCTGCAGAGTATCTACCACAAGCTTCCTCTTCTGACCAGCACAGCTCCGGGCACATACTAGGTGCTAAACAAGTGTCTGCTTATTCAATGGAGGAGCAAACGAACAAACATATCTACTAAAAACCTACTGATGACCAGAAGCCTTCCTGATAATATAAACAGTTGATGGACACATATTTTGTATGCTATATGTACTGCATGCTGCATTCTTACAAAAAAGCAAGCTAAAGTCACAAATCTCCAACAATTTTTCCCATATATTTATTGGAAAAAAACCCACAAGCGAATGGACCAGTGCAGTTTAAACCCGTGTTGTTTAAGGGTTCATTGTACATTTAATCCCATTGTTTTTGGTTCAGGATTGTTGGTATTAGGTCTCTAACCAAAGTGTAAGTTGACTTGGGATAGGCCCATCACTCCTTCTGGGGTGTCCCTCGCTATTCCCCGAATCTCTAAGTATTCTAGCAGAAGTATTAATGCTCAATCTCTCCATCTATATAGACTTACAGCATCCTTCGCTGTGTATTTTTTGTAATGGACCATTCAGATGAGCCTAAGTACAGCAAGAATGACTCTTTCCATCCTAAAAACGCTGGTGGCGGTGGTGGTGATGGTAACAGCAGCAGCTGAAATTTACTGCAGGTCACTGTATGTCAGGGACTTTGCTCGGTGCTTCACAGGAATACTCTAATTTATTAGATTATTGATTATTAATGGTAATTATTAATGGTAATCCTATTAATAAGTTGTGATGATGTTGCAAAACTTCATTTTTAAGTCCAGTGTTTGGGGCTCAATGCTTTTCCCACAGATATGTTGTAATTTGTTAGGTTCCCAGGTTACTACTCCAAGATCTAAGGTACACGAAAAATTCCAGACTGGGGCTGGGGGCAATTTGTTTGATTTATTGTGGCTGTTTTATTCGGGGCACATATTCTTCAGGTGAAAACTAGAAAGTCAAAGTGGTGTTTTTCCACATTTGCTCTCCTCAAGTGCCATGTACTTCAGAACCAAACTCCCAAGGATCTCAGTCCTAACTCAGACCTCCAGCTCTGGGACAGGCCCTGGGCCTTCCCAACTTCCCACTTTAAGTGACAGAACTGGACGCAGGGCCTCAGGATGCCAGGAAGCAGCTGGGGAGGTGGGGCGGCCTGGCCAAGGCTCTGCAAGGTCCTGCTCTCCCAGTGCAGCCACAGGTGCCTAGGCCCTTATGAGCAACAGGAAGGTGAGGGGTGGGGGAGGAAGGCCTGGGGGGCTGGGAGGGAAAAAGGCCTCCAGCTGCATAAATACCAGCTGGGAAGGGAAGTTCCAGACGGGGTCCGGTCGCCATTTCAAAAGGAGGAAATTTTAAGTTTAGAACATGTTTGTAAGTAGAAGACTCTCTCACTGCCCTCAAGACGATAGCTGAGAGATGCCTTCCACCGTCCACACTTACCAGGGCCCTGAGAGGCAGGTAAGTAAGCAGCTCTGAAGCCACAGGCTTCCCACTACAATGGCCCAACTTCACAATATTCCTCCTGGGATCTAATACTATATCCATTCTATCTGGCCTGAAGCCCAGGCAATGTATTTTCACCTCAGTTCAGGCACAATTAAGTCCTGAAGCAGATCTAATGGGTCAGGTAAAGGCCCGACTCCAGTTGCCCTGCAGGACCTAAGCAGCACACCCAATGGGGCAGCTCCAGGGCCTGTGAGGAGAAAGCTAGTTCTTACAGCAAATGATCAGCTACTCAAAAACACTTTTCTTCCAGGCTAAGAGAAATTCAAACTCCTCATTAAGTCAACCCAATCACCTTCAAGGTCACACACACACAGCTGGTGGTAAGGCCAATACCAGTCCTTCTGACAGCACATACAGTGGGTGTGAAAACTCCCTTTGCCTTGAACAGTTCTCAGCACATAAAAGGAATTCTGTAAATAGCTGTGGCTAAAAGTATTTTGCCTTTCATGAAGTCTACTTGCTATAAACAGTAGCCCCTGCTTAGGGGCCAGTGGGGAGAGGCTGACAGCCAGAAGGGAGTCACTTGTTGACTGGGAGGCTGGGGAGGCAAGGGACTAGCTGGGATGCACTCAGTTGTTCCATGTTTTGCTATATAAGGAACCTCAGTAACCTATTCCTCCTCCCTCCCAACCTGCCTTTACCCCCTTTTTGCCTATTGAAGATTCTTCTTTGTGTTGAATGTGCATTTAAAATAGAATTTTTAAAAATCAATGAAAGTTCAGGGCCCAGCAACTAGTTAGATGGGATCTAAATCGAGTTATATGTTTAAAAGGACATCAAGAAAATTAAACTGTTAGTATTAAGTCCAGAATTGTTTAGGAACTAAGGGCCACTGACATCAAACGTATACCACAAAGAGCAGATTTCTCTCTCTTTAAGCTGCAGAAAAGATAGAGGTGAAAAGTGCACAGGGCATGGGTTCAAGGCTTGGCTCCTCCCCTTCTGAGGACCCACGGGTGGGGGGTGTGCCTCTCCTGGCCCCATACTAGGAATGCATACATTACACAGCATCTTGTGTGTTTATGTTTCTCTCTTTACACTGGCCACTAGGAATCTTAAGAGTAAAGCTTTCTACCCAGTAGTAAGCAAAATGAATGACATTTTATGACTCTGACTCCTGTCTTATCTTTTCTCTCGCTCTTCTTTTCCCCAAACTCCTATCTTCACTGAAGATGAAAAAATCTTGTTTTTACCTAAACGTCTATCTGCAAGCATTTCAAATCCACTGGTGTGGGATTGAGGATGAATAAGTAAGTATCCTTAGGAAAACAACAATAGTGACTAACAGGAATACTCTCATAGTGCTCATTACGGACAGGCTCCGTTCTAAGGCCTGACCGGGTCTCAGCTCATGGAATTCTCCCAAGAGCCCCCGGGGCAGGGAGGCCCTGCAACGCCTGAAGCCTCACTGTGCTCCAGAACAATACTCTACACTGTTCCGCTCATGCCACACTGTTAGAAACATCTGAGCATGCATCCCCAAACCAGGTACTTATCGATTATGTACATGCACTATTCTAGTTTATTACAGTATAAAACATACACACAAAAATATACATTTTGAAAGAATACAAAGAAGCCAGTTGACATGTTCCCCTAGCACTACACAGATTGATTGTCTTGCACTCTCCATTTTCAAAGCCAGGGCTCTATGAAGAGCCCTTTGTCCTGGCCTGGGTTGTGCAGAAGATCAGATACGAGGGCATACGTACAGTGCCTCATATACCATGAATGCTCGAGTGCTTTCCTCCCCCTACAGCTGAAAAACAAAGTAGCACTAAAAAAACAAACTTGTTCACATCCATATTCAGTTAAATAGTTGACATGAAGACTTTAAAAGTTAAGTCACTGAACCCATGAATTAAAGACCAAACAAGAAACATGAGGGTTGCTTATAAAAGTGGGAGAGGGGAGGAAGTCAAAGAAGGAAAATCCAACCACTGCAGATACTGCCTTCTTCCACCTGATGGAATCCATCCCTGGCAACTGTGGAAAGAGAAAGTGAACAGAGACTAAGAGGTTGGGGAGAGAGCAAAGGGACGAGCCCAGGAGGCAGCACGGGAACGCCGGGGCCTCTGGGCCGGACAGTGGTCTGGGCTCTGCCAGCCGCACTCACCCTCACGTCCCACACGGCTCAGGCTGCCATGCCAGGTTTTGAATTTCTCCAAGGGCAAAGGGGAAAGACAGTGTAGAGAAACCTTGCAACCCGCCACAGTGCCAAAGTGCCTCCCCCTGGCTCCACCCCCAAACTAACAAATCACACAGTGAAGGGA